CCCCAAAACTTGATCAAAATGAACTAAAAGGTGATATTCGGAATCAGCACACTTTCTTCTATCAGAATATGTATGTTTCGAATCCAAATAAGAACCTGAGTAAACTTTGAATTACGCGCGCCTTACTTTTCAGAAAAGTAATACAAAAGATTTTTTTCAAAAATATATTCAAAGGATTTCCTAACGTGTTTTTGGATGAATAGTGAGGTATTTATAAGAACGAAGGTTTTTTGAGGAGTTTCTGGATTATGGCTTCAAGGTACTATCAGCGATCATTTATAACTCAAGTCTAATTAAAATATCTATGAAGTATTTCCTTGTTGAAGTTCTATGCTCTAAAGTAAGGAATAATGCCGAAGTATACCCCAATATACATAAAAAGGACGACTTTTTAGGGGATTAGCAACAACAGGTATATCGTGTTTCATAGATCGTGTTCGTGAAAATTTTTTGATTTCATCACGAGAGTAACATTTCGATGTACAGTGGGTAACAAACTTATTGGCCCACCTTGCACATTTCTTTTATTAGAGAGGAAAGCTGCTGGAAATTTTTTGATTTCATCGCGAGATAGCCCTTAGTTTGTTGTATATTTTCTGTAAAATTCAGGTTCTTATGCGTCGATTTTTGGGAATTTTTCTCGTGAAAATAACCGAATTTTTAACGCTAGAAAGCGAGTGTCAAGTGTGTAGTTAACTTCTGTATTATCTGGTCCCATTTTTATTTTTTCATGAATTATTTTGGGATACATATCGTTTGATAGAGCGTTGTTTGCGGTACAAAGTGGACTATTTTTTATTTGAAACAGGCTCCGGAAGTACCTCGAAAGAGAGATTTTTCTAGAAGGCACTTAATTTTCAGAGCATGTGTCTGGTAAACGCGCTTTTCTCTATTCGGCTCGGCCAAGAGTGACGGGATGACATTTTTTCGTCTTTCGCTACCTCTATTTGCCAAACCACGCAATAGTTTAGGTTGAAAATGTGTTTGCTAATGTAAGTCTACTAGTTCTCTCAGCTCTGATAATTCCGGCTTAATTGATTGCATTGATCAAAAGTTAGAGCACTCTGTTCGAATATTAACTTGTTAATGTTTTCTTTTACAAAATTGTGTAAAATTGACATTTAGAATATGTGAACTGTATCAATTGGGAAAGTTTATTTTTAAAACTTATGGTTTTATAACTCAACAGCAAGCATTATTATTCATTCAGGATTTGAAACTTGGTCATTATATGAAAATTGCTCCACGTGTTTTGTTTACCTCTCAGATTATTGCTACTGTAATCAGTTGTTTTCTCGGTTATATAGTGTCTATTTATTTAATGAATCATATTCAAAATATTTGTGCGACAGACAATTTAGACTAGGGTTGTCCAGACATACGTACGTCGTTTTCAGCTTCGCTTATTTGGGGTGTTGTTGGCCCCTCTCGAATGTTTATCCATGTGAAAAAATTCCCACATACGATATGGCTTATGTATCATCATCTGCTCTAGATTGCGGTGTGACATTTAGTGCTCTGGTCATCTTTGTAGCATTACAAAATCAAAATATTTCATTTCCATCATGGTGGGGAACCGGTGGTGTTTATCATGATGGATGTCCATTATCGCAGGCGACTTTTAATGATTCTTTTCCGTAATAACTGGAAGTTTTTAACAAGGTATTGCATGCGAATTCTTGCAGGTAGTAGAAATTAATCCAAATAGGAGCGACAAATATTCGTTTCAGATATACTCAAGTTTTTAGAAGAACAATCAGTTGGAGTAAGAATCTAAAATATGACACAAACAATGACAGTAAAATAGTTATGGTACTCTTTGAACATGAACGATGAAAATAGTATTTTTTTCATACTCACTCGAATCCGTTTAATACGAATTGTAAATCTATATAATGTTTCGCCATTTGATTCAAATTTAAGTGTGCGATAAAGTGCATTAGCCGCAGTCACAGTACGGTACAAAAACGTCTCGATAGCATGAATTGTTGGCTCTTTATCCTACAAAAACCAAAACATTATAAATCAAAGCAAACATAAAATGTTATTTGATTCAAAAGTTATTCTAAAAAAAATTACAACATTTATTGCAATTAAAATTATGTAAAGCTTAGCTTGATAATTAGTTATCTCAATATTTTCTTCATCTAAATATCTAAGTGGCCTACAAAATGTGAACCTGCACAAACTGTAAATATCTAAATATCTAGAAAAATAGGTTATCTAAATAAAATATAAGTACTCACATATAAACCTTCATTTTTGTAAGGTTCAGCTAGATCAAAATTCAAGTGAATTTTATTTTTTCGATTTTAATACATATTCTGGTTCGTCTTTGGACGCTGATTCCGAATAACACATTCCGAA